TTAGCAGTTTTCCCGCCAAAGACTTTACATACCCGTACTTGGGTACTCCGCGTGCTTGAAAAGCTGGAAAGCTGAAATTTTGAGGAAGTGTTCCCTGTTCAAGTATAATTTATTTCAAGTTTAGCGTTGAGGTATGCGGGTTCTTACGTTCGGGCACTTAAAGTCTTAACGAAAAAATTTCTCACTGAACAACTGGGATACTTTTAAAGAAAGACGGTCAAATGGAAATTGTACATTTACTTTTCAAAATTTATGGTGATTTATGCTAGTAAACGTAGCACGTAGGTATAAAGCAACAGCCATTCGTACAGTTAATAACCTGAGTAATTCAAGTCCCGTGCAAAAACACATGATCCCGCGCGGTGCTTTCCAGCCTGGGTTGCAATTTGTATATATGTAAAAACGCATAAAAACACATAAAAACACCACGAAACTGATTCTCAAAACCGTGATTTTTAAACGAGCTTTCCATTCCACAATACAAAAGTAGAGTATATCCAGCCTTTTAACTCTATACGTTCTTTATATTTTATATATATACATCCCTCTATAATTCATACACATATATTCTTTTTTAATGTGTGTCAGGATTAATATCTCAAATTTTACGCTTGTGTTCAACTGAGGACTGAGAGGAAACCTAATTAGCATAGAGCGGAGAATATTGTCAGGGATTATGCCATACGCGAATCGATGGGGTGTTTGACAGAGTTTTGGCTTTAGGCTCATGCACGATCCCCCTCATTCCGCGTAAACCCCTTCATTCGATGAGGGCTACTCTCCCCATAAATGTAAATGAGGCTTATCATCTACTACTTTACACGCCCAAACCACCTTTCCAATTCTACATGAGGGTGCCATGGTATATTAAAAATGCTGATTCATTCAAAAAAAGTCAGATTTATCTCCTCTCTCTCTCCGTTATTTGCTTTTGTTCCTTAGCACAATAGCCAGACTATGTCCTTTCCTATTCTGAAGTAGATTATATGATGGGAATGTATAGCTCCCTGGCACTAGTTTTGCTGCACGTAGTCTACCTTCCAGACTTTAATTAAGGGCAGGTCTGGAATATCTTTGCTACACTTTGTATCTGTGAATTTAGGTGCTGAAAGAACGACGTGCCACTGGAGTGAATGGAAACGAAGAAGTGCATCATGCTTCCGCCAAGAGAGATGCGAAGGAAAGAAGTGGTCTCAGCATATTTGGTAACTCGGTGCTGCTCCTCGAAGATGACATCGTTCTTGACTTTCATCGTACTGATGCAAATGGTGTCGATGGTTGCCAAAGGCTCGGTAATTTTTTAAAACATCGCTTTTTATACAGATTTGATCGAAGAAATCGTCGGTAATGGTGCCTCTTTGATAAAGCGGTGGTATTTGCCAGATTCAAACGACAATTCTGTTCAATTTTTGCTACAGACCAGTTTCTGGCAAAAAATATTTTCCAGAATTGCAGCTCCTGAATCTCTACAAACCTGTTTCGCGGCATGATTCAAGTATGATGTCCTTCTAGACAAAATCTGCTCCCTCTCACTTATTTTTGCAGCTCGTCCGAACTGAATCTTTGCTCTCTCGCCCAGACTGCTTCTTTCACTTTGTGCAGATAATTTTCTTTCCCGTGGTTACTAAAGATAGTTGCCATCACTTCACTTCATTTCCTCCATACATTCTGCGACAGCATGACTGTTTTAAGAATATTTGTTGTTAGAAATTCACTAGTTCTCCGAGCCAACTTCTAATTTCGGCTTATCGATGCACATGCACAGTAAAAATGAAAAATTAGAGCAGGCCCAGTTCGGTAATCTGCAGAAAAGGCTCATCTCATTTTTGAAATTTGTCCCAGTCTTTCCGAAAGTTACATAAACGATTAAAGAGGGATTTCCAGCGTCTAAACGCATGGTAAAAATGACAATAATAATAGTAAGCAAATCTTTCTCCGTATGCACTCTCTCTGAAAGGCGAAAACACTTGGAAGAAATGCTCTCAGTGGTTTCCTCAGGGTTTCCGATAGTTCCGTCTTTCAAGGGTCACTTAGAAGCAAGCTAATGGCAGCCAGCAACAACTAACATCAAAGTGACATGCGAATCGTAGAGAGATTAGTTGTTTTATTGGTGGAATAGAAATCCTCACCTTCAGCTTGATAGCAAGCTGGCATTTTTCATTGCGCCATCCCAGCGAACTATAAAATAGATAAACTGGGAAATAAGGAGAGTATGAATTAACACTGGACAAAACTCTTTATCCGAAGATTTGAATTGCGAAGTCTTTTTCCGAAAAAAAGGCGGGTTACTATTTGGCGTTAATGAAAAAGCGAGTGTTTCTCAATGATTTTTCAGCTTTCGAGCCCAATCGAGCTGAAGAATCAGACACAAGATGATACAGCTAGCTGCACTGATAGCCATCAGCCGCTTCCAGAACGACATTTGACTACATCGGCTACAGCAAGAGAAAGCACTGCAAATACTGGTCACAGTCGAAACAGAAATCGCAGTGGTAAAAACCCACTCATATGC